TTCAAATGCACCTGAAGGATCTGAATGGAGATTGTATATAGATAAGCAAAATCTTGGAGCAGATTCTCCTGGAAGGCATGCTAAGGCACATGAAAATCAACAAGGTGCTTGGTGACAGCCAGCATGGCTTCACTAGTGGGAAATCCTGCCTGACCAATTTGGTGACCTTCTATGATGGGGCTACAGAACTGATGGACAGGGGTAGAGCAGTTGATGTCATCCACCTGGACTTGTGTAAAGCGTTCGACACTGTCCCACATGACATCCTTGTCTCTAAATTGGAGAGACATCAATTTGATGGATGGACCACTCGGTGGATAAAGAACTGGCTGGATGGCTGCATGCAAAGAGTTGTGGTCAATGGCTCAATGTCCATCTGGAGACCAGTAACGAGTGGTGTCCCTCAGGGATTGGTGTTGGGACCAGTCTTGTTCAACGACTTTGTCGCTGACATGGACAGTGGGATTGAGTGCGCCCTCAGCAAGTTTGCTGATGACACCAAGCTGTGTGGTTCGATTGATATGCTGGAGGGAAGGAATGCCATCCAGAGGGACCTTGACACGCTTGTGAGGTGGGCTGATGCCAACCTCATGAAGTTTAACCATGCCAAGTGCAAGGTCCTACACCTGGGTTGGAGCAATCCCAGGCACAGCTACAGGTTGGGCAGAGAAGAGATTCAGAGCAGCCCTGTGGAGAAGGACTTGGGGGTGTTGGTGGATGAGAAAATGAATATGAGCCAGCAGTGTGCGCTTGAAGCCCAGAAAGCCAACTGTATCCTGGGCTGCATCAAAAGGAGCGTGACCAGCAGGTCGAAGGAGGTGATCCTGCCCCTCTACTCTGCTCTTGTGAGACCTCACCTGGAGTATTGTGTGCAGTTCTGGTGTCCTCAACATACAAAGGACATGGAACTGTTGGAACAAGTCCAGAGGAGGGCCACGAGGATGATCAGGGGACTGGAGCACCTCCTGTATGAAGACAGGCTGAGGAAGTTGGAGCTGTTCAGCCTGGAGAAGAGAAGGCTGTGTGGAGACCTCATAGCAGCCTTCTAGTATCTGAAGGGGGCCTATAGGGATGCTGGGATGGACTATTCATTAGGGACTGTAGCAACAGGACAGGGGTAACGGGTTAAAACTTAAACAGGGGAAGTTTAGATTGCATATAAGGAAGAAGTTCTTTACTGTGAGGGTGGTGAGGCACTGAAATGAGTTGCCCAGGGAGGTTGTGAATGCTCCATCCCTGGTGGTGTTCAAGGCCAGGTTGGACAGAGCCTTGGGTGGCATGGTTTAGTGTGAGGTGTCCCTGCCCATGGCAGAGCGGTTGGAACTAGTTGATCTTAAGGTCCTTTCCAACCCTAACTATTCTATGGTTCTATAAGCAAAAGTTAGAATTCACATTCTTCTATTTATGTCCTGCAAGAAATCACATTCTCCAGTTTATCTCCTGCAAGTTATCTCCTGCAATCTATCGCATAGGTAAAACGGGTTTGTGCCCTGCTTTTTATTTTTAGGTGAGACCAAGGACTTTGTGAGGACTTGACTCTTTAATATATTGATTATATTGATATTGGCCTAAAGGTTTGTTCTGGTTTTTTTTTTTGTTTTGTTTTGTTTGTTTGTTTGGTTTTTGTTTTTTTTTGTTCATTTGTTTGGGGTTTCTTTGTGTGTTTTGGTTTTGTTTTTTGGGTTTTTTTGTTTGTTTTTTGTGTTGTTTTTTTTTTTAATCAAAAGAAAACTTCTGCAAATTTTAAGGAGAATTCCTTTAATGTTTTCTGTTGTGGCCTGAATTACAAATTAAAGTAGTGTTTCTTGCCACTCAAGAATTATTTTGATTCAGAGGCAGGATCACTGTATCTAAAGAGGAAAAAGATTGCTTTCGTTTCTCCCTCACCAGCCATATGTCCATTTATGTGGCCTTTAAAATATAAATAATGATCACATAGCACAAGTAACACTAGGTGATTGCTCATCACATGAAGGGAATTTTATGAACAGATAACAGAATTTTCTATAGTCAACTGTATAGCACACTTAAGACTTTGGGTGTTTGGATTTATTTACATCCTTAGTGTAGGCATGGAAGAAGACTTGGTGTTAGGTGATTATATTTGCACACAGACACTGACATTTGTTATACTTTCCAGTAGCCATCTACAGAGGCCATCCTTCCTGCTCTGTTTTGCAGATGTTTGCGTATGTTGTCTTCCGAACATTTTCTTTGCTTCATTTTAAATCTCAGTTGATTCACTGATATGTCTGATATCCCACTGATATGTTCAGTTATATGTACCCAGTGACAAATTAATGACTAGAAAAGATTTTCTCTCAAATGAGGAAGAACTGTTGCTCGGGAGTTTTGGGGTTTTGAGCACTTTCCAGTGCTTGGAGTTACTTGGGCCTCTGATCCAGCTGGTGGGAAGCTTTCAGGCAGCTCGCTGTCTTTTTCTTGTAGAAACAGTCTCAAAACTTCAGTTGGAGTGCTGCAGCTGTATTGGATGGATTCTATTGATCTCACCAGACTAATTGCTTCCTATTGCAGGACTTTTCCTCCCTTTCTTGTTGACATAATTTCTTTTCTTGAGGTTTCTTGTTTTGTATATGAAAGACTTTAATCTTATTTACCACAATCCCACCCTGGCCCTTCATTCTTGCCTTATACTTGCCTGCTCTGCTGTGCTGGAATTTTTATTTAATCTCTTTCATTTCAAAGAGAATTGGGCTCATTAAAATGTGGAGAAAGTTTTTTCAACAGGGGATTACAGGCTCTGGAGCCATCTGTGGAGGCGTGTATACTGTGCATATGTGTGTCTCAGTGAGAAAGAAGGAAGAGGAACTGACCAAAATAAGGAAGCTCCCTTATGACTTCTCACATAGAAAGTATTGTGGTTTTGTGCTTTAGTTTCTTTCTCCAGTTGCCATTTCTCAGAGTGTCTGTCTGTCTGTCTGTCTCTGTCAGGGAATGGCAAACCTAATCCTTAAAAAGTCAAAATGTGTTTTAAAGTTTCACTCCAATATCAGGCATCAGTTGAACTTTTTTGAGCTTCTTTTCATAAAAATCAACAATAATAAGCAAATGGAATTGCTTTAAATAAGCTTTATGATCGTGATGACTAACGAGTTCCATGTTTTCTACTTCTTTCCACAGAACCACTGAAAGAGATCTGGAAATGGATCATTTAAAACATCAATAATTTTATCAATAATTTCATCAATAATTTCAGGGTTTTTTTTTGTAATTTACATTAATTTAAATGACTGGATTTTTCCCCCTCCCACCTTTCTTTATTTTAGCCTAAATTTGGTTAGTTGAAGGGAAGCAGGATGTGAAGATAGATTAAAGAATTCTATCAGCTTAAATTGATTAGTTTTGCTGTAGATCGGAATTGGAACTGAATCTGGAATAATTTCTCCTTCCACTTTAGTCATTGCTTCTGTGAAAAAATATTACAGCTATAAAACTAAGGCTCTCAAGCATACACCTTGCTTTGCATTTGCTTGCTACACCTACTGATGGGATCCTCTGACAGCTCAAGAAGGCAGGGAGTGACTTTTTATGAAACTTGAATATCCCTGCACAGAGAAGCATAAGGGATTCTGTTGAACAAATAGGCAAAACAGCTTGAGAAGGTTTGATACAGGTCACTTTCCCAAGGCCAGTACCTTGTTATGCCTAAGTCTAGGTAATCAGGTGTGTCCAATCTGTGCTGTGGACTCTGTAATGTCCCCGGACAGTCCTATTCCCAGTAGCTGGAAGACCTGTGCAAGTCATGGTTAGAGCTCGTTGCTCTAATAGGCTTTAAAGAATGCCATTGGCTAAGTCATCTCCCAGTACATACTGTTACAAATCCAAAGCAAAGATCTAAGGCTATGTACCAAAAGTCTACTGCAATGACGGAAAAATTGCTGTGAGAATATCTGTATGGACAGCAAATACACAGCATTTTTTCAACTAGCTTATGAAAAGAAACTTCTGAGTGGATGCATTTTTAAGTTGGCTGTCTCTTTATGTCCTGGGTTCAGCAGTAGCAGTCATGTTTCTCCTTCTTGGTAGCTGGTGCAGTGCAGTGTTTTGACTTTTGGCCTGGGAACAGAGCTGATAACAATGATGTTTTGGTTTGGCCAAGGACTTTGTGAGCCTCATGCTCTGCCAGGGAGGAAGGGAAGCCAGAAGGAAGCAGAAACAGGACACCTGACCCAAACTAGCCAAAGAGGTATTCCATACCACAGCACGTCATGCCCAGGAGGTAACTGGGAGTTAGCTGGAAGGGCTGGGAGACGGCAGGGTTGGAGGAGGTATGGGTCAGAGCTTGGTCGGGCTGGGGGGGCGAGTTATCGGTTGGCTGGTGGTGAGATGTTGTATTCTCTTCCCTTGTTATTTCCTTTATCATTGTTATTATTAGTGGTAGCAGCAGTGATTTGTGTTATACCTTAGTTACTAAACTGTTCTTATCTCAACCCGTGGGAGTTGCATTCTTTTTGATTCTCCTCTCCGTCCCTCCGGGAGTAGGGGGAGGGAAAGAAGGGGGGGAGTGAGTGAACGAGTTACCTGACTGGGTTTAAACCACAACACTTTAACAGTTACAATTAACATATCGGGTTATCAAAGAAGAATGCTTGTCTGAGAACGGCCCCCTTTTACAGTAGAAGTACAAAGGGAATACATGTATCTAACATGGGACATTCTTTGGCACAAGCATAGGAAGGGAACATGGAAACAACCAGTCTGGTGACAGCACTTAAACTTATTCTTTTTCTGGGTTTACATATAGTTTTGTTTAGTTGAGGTGAAAATGTAATCCCAAGAGAATGCATGAACAGACAAGAAGAGAGAAAACAAACACTGTGGGTGTAACTAGAGTGGTAAGCCTAATCGGGGAGTCAGGATTGGGGGTAGGAATGAGGTGCTGCAAAAGACAGCAAGAAAAAAGAATGCATGACTGCAGAAACACTGTAGGATCACAAGGTATTTGAAGGGAAATGGGTATGAGAAGGTCATAACAGTGAGCAGCCCAAAGTTCTCAGTCTGTGCTGTGAGAGGCAATCTCATTGGTGATGGTGCTTGGGAGAGCCCTGGCTGTGCTGCCCACCTCCACACTCACGCTGCTTCTGCAACCACATATCTTTGTGGCACCCCTTAACCACCTCCTCCCATACAGTTGCCTCTTGCAATTGTATTCCTACCTTTCCCTGAGAGCCATGGGCCTGTGAGATGGCCAGCACAGTGCCATGTGTCCCCATCACCATCTGGTCCAGGGACGAGGGCAAAGAAACAACTGGTGGGCTATTGCCTCTGAGATGGCCAAGTCACACTCATAGAGAATAGCTGCATACAGAAGAAAAGACGGTGTATAACTTCTGTGTTTGCCTTTGAGACTAGGAGTGTTATGTAATCAGCAAATGCTAATTTTTTCATTCCGTGATCAAGAAAGTGGCTGCTGTCAAACTCAAAACATCTTGAAGCAAAAATTAGCATGAATCCCAGCTTCTTTATGAAACATTTCTTCCAGATCCAGCAAACTACTTAATTTCCTTCCACTTTCTTTTGTTATTCTGCTGTTGTTTACAGAACCAGCTTTTTTTATTCAGCTCTACAAAATGAGAGTTGTGGCTTTTTTCACAAGGGACAATGGTTTTAAACTAAGAAAGGAGATACTCAGTTCGGATGTGAGGAAAAAAAATCTTTACAATGAGGGTGGTAATATACTGGAACAGGTTGCACAGAGAGGTGGTGGAAATACCATCTCTGGGGCCATTGGAGGCCAGACTGGATGTGGTTCTGGGCAACCTGTGATATAGCTGAAGATGTCCCTGCTCATTGCACCTTTGAAGGTCCCTTCCAACCCAAATTATTCTATGATTCTCTGAAGCACTCACACTATAAGAGCTGTTGTTAAGTCTTTGGTTAGTATGTCAATCCATCTGGATCCTACCAGCCTTACCTACTCTAATGGACATGTATTATGGTTTACAGTGTAATCAGATGATTTCTCAGTTGCACCTTGTAATTTCTAGAGGATCTCTCACAAAAAGACACACAAGGTGGCCTGGAATAAAATATGACTAATGGCACCATATTCTGCTCTAAGCTGCTGAGCCAAGAAAGTTGATTGAAAAGCTAGGATTAGTTATTTGCAATGAAGATGGTCTTATTGAAATATTATATCTAGTTAGATGTCATCAGAGGTAAACTCTTCTTAAAGTTTGTCCTTGTTTTATGTTGACAAAATAAGCATGAAAATTCCCAACAGTTGTGATTTTCTTCATCTTTTAGTTCAAACTCAAGTTTATTAGGAATACAAAAAGCTGGAAACCTTAACATAAAATCTTGACTTTGGTTTCATCCCACCCAAACTGTGATGGCTGAACTAAGTCTAGTCACACAAGGGTTTCTCTGCAGTTGACAGAAGATCTTTCAGAATGACTAAAAGGTAGGTAATTTTCACTGACTAAAAGTAGAGTACTCAGTGCTTTAGGCAAGTGTCTGAAATAATTAGATAAGATGAACCCAGACCTTGAGATGTTAAAAAATGTTTCAGAGGAAATCTTTCAACCCCTGCTTTCAACCAGAAAAAAAGAACTGTTTAAAAATAACAATAATAGTACAAACATGATATATAAAGCTTTTAACCTATGGCAATCTAATCAAGACTTCAATTTGGCCTTCAGTTATGCTCAGTTTGAAGATAGACTTGGAAACAGAGCCAAACCCACAATTTCTGACATATGCCTTTGGTGTCCGAATTGTACTTCCTCACTGCCATGTAGAGGAGAAAAGCAAGCCTGCTCCTGTGCAAGCCATGTGAATATTGTAGGATTTCCGGTTTGTAACCAGCAAGCAGATGAGGGTTTTATTGAGAATAAATAAATAAATAACATGTTGCCTTTGTTTTTAATTTTCATAAGCCACTGAAGATGGTTCTTAGCTGAAAAGGAGAAACATCTAACTGCTGAGGAACCCTCACTCTGAATTCAATGGGTATCACATCCTTGTCTGAAACACCAGTACTGGGCATTTGATTGCTGATTAGCCATGTGACTATACTCTCCTTTTTTTCTAGGTTGACAGATTTTGGATGTTTGACTGTACCTGTGTGTTCTTAATGTTCGGTTGGTTGGTTGGTTCTTTTTTTTCCTGGGATTCAGAAGGTGTTAATAAATTTCTTATCCACTCTCAGCCTCTTGAAAACATTATTCTTTATTTACTGAATATAAAAATAGCAACTGCTTGCTCAAAATTTTTAAGCATGAGTCTTACTAGTACAAAAATGTTTTAATCATCTAAGTAGAAAGTCCTTTATTCCTTTAGTAACAAAAATGTATACTCACATTATGATATCTTCAATAATTATTTCTAAAAGTAGTATTTGATAAATACTGCAACATTGGAATGAATTCAGGTACAGGAATCTGGTTTTGTAAGGTAAATTATGATACCATATGTAATATGTAATAATAATGTATTCAAAATCAGAGTGCTGAAATTTTTATAGCATATGTATGTGAATATAAGCTTATGTATGAATATGTGTATTTAAAATATTAAATCATTAATATATATGATATTAATTTTCTGTGGGTGCGTATTTATGTGTTTGGACATTTTTTTCCATTTGGGCAATGCCAAGTATTAAAATTTCCTTAGTCAAGCTCATTCAGCTGCATTGCAATAATGGCTGTTCTTTCTTCTTATTTTTCTGACCGTCCCTGGCAGATACATTTCAAAGAGGAAGAACACAGATCCTCCTTCTCATTTTCCATGGCTGAAAAAACCTCCAAAGATCCTCTAAACACAGAAAGGCCCACTGTAACTTGAATAAACACTGATATAGATGAGCCTTATTCATATAGAAATTGCAAGGTATACAGCAAAAGACAGTGTTGTAAATGATGATAGAAAATAATTTCATCCATTTCATCTTGGTTTTAGAAGTCCTAACATTGTGGAGTGCTTACGTGTTGTTGTCTTATGAGAGAGCCTGAGGAGTTACTGCTCTTTTGTTTGCCTGCCTCACTGCCTCAGCTCTACCATGTACTCTGCTGTGCATAGATGTGGATGATAGCTAGTTCTGCTTTTTTGTTTCCCTTTCTCTCTTGTCTATGTCTGCAATAAAACGCCTGTACTGCAACAGCAATGAATATGCTGAATGGTCTAAATGATGTGAAGGAGGGACTCGCTTCCTTTGATGCAATCTTTTTCTTGGAGATGTTTTTCAGGTGAAATTGAGCAAGACCTGAATGGAACTTTTTTTTTTATTGCAGATGAGAAAGAAGCAGCTTTCTTGATGCATGTGGAAGACTCCCACAGAAATTAATAAGGCCTTGGGTTCACAGGAAATGCAGTGAAAAACTGGCTGAAAGGCTGGGGGGAGGCAGGTGGGTGTAAAGAAGAACTCCTCATCTATAAGTATTCCACAAATACCAGCGACTTTGATGGGCCAGTGCAAGGCTCCCCTCCACAGCACAGACTGTATCCTCTGAGAGACCTCGTCTTGCAGACTTACTTCTCTTTCTGTGAGGACACCAGCTTTCCCTTCCTCTAAGCAATTGCTCTTACATGTCTTTCTGTGGTGGCCTGTGTACAGTGAGACAAATGTTAGGAAGTCTGATTTGTCTTTTAATGCAATTTAGCCATTGGAAATGATCCAGCATCATGTAACCAAGAAGTTCTTTGTGAATTGACAGGCAAGTTCTCCACAGACCATAGGGCTGGAACTTCTTGATTAATGCATTTCCCAAATGCTGTACAGCCAGTGCTAACTGGTCCTACCACTGCAGGGTCTGCATGCCTTCTCCTTGTTGTTCTGACTCTTCACAGCGAGTTATTACTGGCAGCTCAAATAGAAATGGGTATAGCTAAGGATGCTTGGCAATTTGCATTATAAAAAGTTGTTTTCAATGGCTTTAAATTCTCCAAAGTTTAATTTGTTTGTAGTTTTCCACACTAAAGGTTTTATTCTTTATGTGGGGGTGACAGGAAGGGGGGAGAGAGAAAGGAATGGTAGTAGGTAATAAACATAACTAGATAGATTGAAAGCTGAAACTTCTGTAGGATTTTATCCATTTTTCTTTGTAGAAATATGTGTATTTTTTACCCACCTCCTCTGTGAGCAAAGACAAAATAGGGTATCTGTGGCACAGAAGGTGGTTCCTGTGGTTGTTCCTTTATAAACGTACCCATGCTTGTGTGTCTGAAAACCTGTTTGCAGATGGTCAGACTTGTGACAGCTGGCAGTTAATTTCTCCGATGCTACTACGTGTGTGATGTGTGTGCTTCTACCACTTTCCAGCAGCCATGTCCCATCAGCACAGCCAGGCTGATCAAGTCCCTTCTGGAGGTGGTGTGGGGTTCATGTGTCCTCACCATGGCCGAGAGCTGCTGCAGTGCCTGGCACAGGACATGAAAATATTGATTCAAGGACATGTAAATGGAAAAGAGGAAAAGAAAACCTCCTTTCAGGGGGAAAGGAGCCTTGTGCAGATGGCAGATGGGTGTCAACACTGTGAGGGAGGAAGGAGGCAGTGGGACCGGGGGAGACCAGGAAACTTGGAAACAGGACTGCTGAATGCCTAGTGCTGAAGGCTGTCATTATTATATAACTTCTGGAGGAATTACACGTGTGCATGTGCGTACACAGTTATGCAGTTCTGAACTGCAGGAGCACTAATACTATTTTCCATTTTTTCCAAGGGTGTCCATCCTCAGAGGGTGAATTGAGGCTGTGTCACAAAGAGAGCAGCTCCCTGCAGAATCCCTTCCTCCATTGTGGCAGCTAAAGTTGATGGGCAGAGTGTTGCTGAAGGAGAGAATATGGCTTTTGTGACTTGGGTGTAAGTTGTAACACACACTTCTATTTTCTGAATTATTAATTTGTTGCTTGTTTTTTTCTTTTTGTTGTTTAACTGAGAACTGTTTGTTGTAAAATACGTGTTATGTTGATGAACCTTGTGGAAATAAGTCCTTATGAAACTCATTCTGCCTTCAGAACAGATTTTTGATAGCACCTTGTAAATAAGCCATGAGACTACATATTTAAATGGTTAAGCATTTTGATCTATTTTCATTAAGTGTTTTTTCATTGAGAACAGTCCATCCTTTGCATTAAATAGACAGAGAGTCTGGGGGGAAATAAGTGTGTGATACTTGAATGAAACATTGTCTTGGCCCATAACAGAGAGAAGAAAAATGTAAGGCTTCCTGTACAAACTTATTTGGACACTTTTTAGATTTTGAAATCTTAACTGGGCTGCCCTAGTCCTGTATTCAATTTAAATTGTTTGTATTTGTTATTTAAGCTAATCTGGAAGTTGTTTCTTTGAGTCTTTTCACATATGTGTGTGCTCAAAGATATATGTGTTTATGTAAAGTGTACTTATTAGGTATGCATGGAAATATGTGAAGAGATATATGTTGGGCCAGAACTTTCTCATTCCTTATCTGCCACATGAGAGTTTCAAAATGACGGTTTCCTGTTTACTTGTTAATTCATCGTTATAAAATCCAAATGCTGTTAGTGGTCTCAGTGTTCTTTGCGCATATCTGGATTTTTAAGCATATACTTTATTTTCATAAAAGGAGAACGAGACATTATTTATATCACTTTGATGTTATTTTAACAAAGAGAATACAGACTGCTTTTAAAAATTATTCTCCATCTGAATGGTAATTACTAGTGACATTCAATGAAGAACTCGAAAACGCAGTGTTTAAGTTGTGCTTGTATTCCTGCTATTTTCAAATCCTGTATTTAAAAGTAAATATATGTGTCACTTTGGTGTTGCCACTGATTCTAGAAAGTGACAGGACTTGCAATGAGCTAAGGGGTTGCCTTGGCATGGTGAGACTTAAAAATGATGTTATTTCTACACTGCCCTGCACCCTTCCTCAGTTTATTTTGAGACCAACTTCTGCTGAGTCAGTTGTCTCTGAAGTACAATGAGGATTTGGGACAATAATAATGACTAAATTAGATGGGGGCATGTTCTGGTCTTTCTGGATCTTCAAGAAACTGCAGGTTTGGACGGCTTGACCTTCTTGTAATTCACACAGGGCTTGTGCTGGAAATTCCGGTTTTCTGCTATTGGAACAAACACAGCTCCTATCCTAGAAGAGCCTCTGGCCATTCCCAGACATTGTTTATGGCAAGAGTTCAGGAGGATGTGAGCCAGTTCTCTTAGCTATTTGTACCATTTTTCTCCCCTTCCCCCACCCAATCTCCTCTTTTTCCAGTTATGAGAAAAAAGGTCCTTATAGCCATCTCTACAACAGCCTCTCTGCTGATGTTCCCAGCAAGCCTAGTCTTCTTAATACAGTGTGGTAAGTAAGACTGGCCACTTTGACTGCATTTTGCTGGGATATCTTTGATCCTATAATAAAACTCCATTTGCAGGAAAAAGAATGGTTTAACCAGTATTTAGTGGCAACATCTGTAGAAGCCTGCAAGTGTAATTTCTTATTTCCCCCTCTTTGTCTCCCCCTAAAGCAACCCTAACTATTGGTCATTTTGACACTTTTCCTTTCCCCTTGCCTTCGTATTTTATGCTACAAATTTGTTATCCAGAAATGTTACTGGGTAGCTCGGTATTACTGTATGCTGGATGCTCTTCTTGCATTTGCTACACAGGGAAGTGAGATCTCTGTTGATCTGCTTGAACACTTCTTTTGACATTAACCACATGGTGCTCCTTGATGAAGGGAAGCATTTAATGGATCCAGATGGAAATCCTCTTTTCTTCTTTGGTCAATGCCAAGTCCTCAGCTGCACATCATGTTCTTGAATGTGAGCTGTAGATATGAAGAAATTTTGAGAAATTGAATCTGTCCTACAGTGGTACCTGGACACCAATTATTGTTTCAGGTGATGATGTAATCTGTCATTTACAGATTATGTATTCTCATCTTTGGCTGATGCTGCTTCCTCTGTGGTGATTGTCCAAACTGGATACAAGCATGAGGCATCTTGATTCTTTCTGTACTAATGCTTTTCCTGTGGGCTGGTGGCCCACAGATGGATAATAGATAAATTCTTTGTATGATTTTGTTAATGTGATAAAATTCTTAAATTGTGGTAAACTGTTTTATGAGAACTATTTCTTGAAAGATCTTCAGAAACTCTTCTACATGGAATATTTTAAATTTATGAATAAAGGCAGAAAATAACATGTTAAAAAATTGGAAAAAAAGTCATTCCTATTCCTGAACTGAAACAGTTGAAATAGAGTGATAAAGAATGCCAGTAATAAAGATGTAGTAAATAAAACTAATTAAAAATAACCCCTTGAAACTGTTTAAAAAAAACAAAACAAAACACAAAATCCTCCTCTCAGTCGAAAAGAAAAAAATCCCTTTGTGCATGTCTATGAAATTGAAATCCAGAGATTGTGACTGATAAAGACTAAGAATCTTTTCATTCTGGGTGCCCGAAGTTTACATTGAGACATGAAAATGGAAATAGTTTTTTGGTCACAGCATGTGCCACAACAAGACAAGATTTTAGGCTGATCCTCTTGTCTTGGATCCCAGTCCTAATAGTATTTCTGTTTAAATAGCTCTGCACCCTGTTTAACAGGACTATTTTAAAAGCATGTGAAGTAGATGGCTTTAAGTATGAGGACTGAACAAAACTGATGGCTTACTTTTCTTAACATTTTGTCCATTTAATCAGCCAACCATTAACATTGCATTTCTTCACATAACTTTATTTTTTCATTCAATTCTTCAGAAATGTTGTATATTTTCTCATGTCTGTAACTATGTTGTGTAGGTTAATGAGGTCAGTCTCTTCTGGAAGAAACAGAAGGTTCATGTAAAGACATGCAGTAAAGCCTATCTATGGGAAATTGCTGGATATTTTATACAAGATTGTCCATGATAACAGGAATGCTTATATTGCATTTTGCCAGCAGGCAATTCCTTAGCTATTTAAAACTCTGCAAAACGAAACAAAACAAAACCCCAAAACCAACCAACCAACAAACAAACAAACCCAAAACAACCCCTCCTCCGCTGTCCTTCCAAAAAACCACAGTTTTTATTGAGTCTAAGGATGCTTAATTAGAAATTGAAAAGGCACCACTGCCTTCTCTTGCTTGAAAATTTAGAGAAAGCAAAGAATGTTGGTGGCATGTCTGAGAAATACAGGTTTTAAACAGTGCTTGTAATAGTACCTTGGAGTACTCTGTCCTATTACAAACTTCTGCAAACACTGGCCTGTAAATAGACTTTATGAAAATAATCAAAGTGGGAACTCAATATAGTATGTGTGTGATATACTGCAGTGTTATTAAAGTTCTGAGTCACTCAAGCCTTTAAGAGGGGAATGACTG